AGAGAGAGAGAGAGAGAGAGAGAGAGAGAGAGAGAGAGAGAGAGAGAATGCGAAACGAATCGATGGATACCATTAAAACGTTTAATAAATTATTAAATATAAGTTTGATTCTAACTTGATTTCTAATTTTCTACGGTAACGATAATAGAAAAAGACTTAAACGATAATAGAAAAATTATATATTAAACGTCAATATATCATTAAGGTATGTATATGTTATACATTTCGTAAATAAAAATAAAACGAAATGTCGATCAATCTCGTTAGTAAATATACTCGATATTTTGTAATTTCTCAATATCTCCCTTCTCATTGTTCGTTGATTTCATTAATTGTTTCTTTTTCATGTCCCATTTATTTATCATGACTATACGATAAAGATAGAGGGACATCCTGCTTGATTTGACAAATATAACGACTCGTCTCTTTCACATATACCGTAGAACAAATCGCATACATAAAATATAATGTCCAAAAACAGCACGGTAAGAATTTTAGAATTTGACGTATGAGCAGTTTCGTCGTAAAAGCAAAAACTTATACATACATATAACATAGTATATGTATATGTATACGCATAACCAATTTATTTTTGCATACCTCCAAGATCGGTAGTAAAAATATTGGAAAATGTAACACCGTTGATCGTAGAATATTATTTAATCGTAATATGAATTCACGTTAAAACATTACTGTTAAACGGTTGGACGGTAACTAGTCGCTGATCAAATATTTTCATGCTTCGCAAAATAGTACATAATGTCAACGTTGTTGCCAACATTCACCGTTGGTTCTCACTGATGCTATTTCGATTGTTCCTTGATATAGGTACTTATGAATCCATTCGAATCTTACAGAGATTCATTCTCGATAACCTGTACATACAGCGATCGTTGTAGAATAGATCAAATTTAAGTACTTAAATAATCAATAATTACGATATCAAATACGCAAAATTCAATTTAAATTCAATTGAAATTCCAATTCTATATCCACGTTCCGATTACTTACTTTTTGTCGTACTCGTATCGATAAAAATTATTTTGTTTATCATGAAATATATATATATATATAATATATATAAATATATATTATATAAATAAAATATACGAAAATTTCATAATTACATTTCATTCATTAATCTTTTGATTCATTCGCGTGTAATTTTATATTCTATATCTAATAATATATTTATATCTAATAATAGTGTATTTATATCTAATTATATCCTTATATTATCGCTTTATTTTCTTTCGTTTTTTTGCTCTATACGATTTTCGCATAAATGAAATAAAAAACTTCTTAAGAGCAAAAAATAAATTAAATTCATCGGTTCTTCGATCGATATTCGTCGATGTTTTGATGAAAATACATCGCATACTGCATTTTTTTAAAGAATTTCATTTTTTTTAAATTAAATATACATTTCTTTTTTTTCTTATTTTATATATCTTCTATATATATGTATAATATAACGTATAATGTAATCGATATATATATATATTTTAAAGCATAATGCACTTATAAAATAAATTATTGTCCAATTCAATCTGTTTCATGGATCGACGATAACGATTCTTTTTCCTTCTCGATATTATCCTTATATTCGCTATCGTACATTCGTTCTTCGAAAAAAATTTCTTCTTTTTCTTCATCGATATTTGCAACATCAATTTCTTCTATAATTACAGGCCTTGGTGTATCATCAATCGCTAATGGCTCACGTATATCATCAGTATTGAAATCCATATTTGTCTCCTCCACACGTGGAACGAGAATTTTTTCCGTTGTATAAGCTTGATCGAACGCACGATCAATGCGAAAGATAGGAGACGAAGCATTTTGAGAAGGTGATTCGGTCCAATTCGATTTGTTTACGAATAACGTGAAATTTTTCAAGATATCGATGCCACGAGGAACAGTTATCCGAGAAGAATCGAATAATGTTACGCCAGGAGAAACTGTTGCATATCTTTCGTTACTTGGAAGCGTAAGGATAATATCATTCGTCGTTCGACGTATAGATTTTAAAGGACAAACATTTTCGGTGAATGAAATATTTTTTGAAATTTCGACAAAAGGTAACGGCAAGGAATCGTGAAATTCTCCAGTGTGTCGAAAATTGGCAATTTTTTCGTCTCTCTTTTGTTGATTTTCGGAAAAAGTCATTTTTATTTCATCCTAAAATATAAATTGGAAGAATGATTATTTATAATTGGAAGATGGTTGTTTCTTTATTTATTTTTATTTAGCTAGAATTATATCGAAAGTTATACGCATGCAAATATCGTTTCTCAGAAACAAGCTTTTTTAAAAAAACGCTAATAAGATATTCGCGTGAACGACCAAACAAATAAATTCTCATAAATTCGACAGATAACATTTATCGGATGTATCGGATCATCGGATAAATGGGCATTCGAAGAGGAATCATATATACTAATAATAAATAAGCGGTACAATATTAAACCGAAATGACATCTTGTTTCTGGAGAATAATTACGATCGATCGTGTCATGCATTATGAAACATCTTTATTATTTTATATACGTATCGTTAAATTTTCAAATATGAAAAAGAAAGAAAAATACTTGCTTTTGCTTTTTCTGTTTCTTCTTTTTCTTCGCTCGTTTCTTGTTCGTTTTCTCTTTCTTCTACTTCATTTTCCTTTTTTTCTTTTATAATTTGCTCGTCACACGATCGAATATCATCGATTTCTTCTCGATAAGAAAGATGATCGATCGTCGTTTCAAGTGTCGATTCTTGCACGGATGGATGAAATTTAATCGCAAAATCATTCAATCCAGATTTACAAGTGGAAGATATCGGATCCTTAAGCGGGAAAACAGTCACGTCCCTCGATTCAACGTTTTCCCAAATTATCGACGCGTCGAGAATAAAATTTTGTATCAATTCTTTCGCAATTTCCTCTTCCACGAAACGAGAATCGTTTCCATATTTATCACAAACAACAGGTATATCGATAGATTTATCGTCTTCAAATTTTGAAGTTTCAGTTTTGTTTCTCTCATCCTCGATCGTTTCGTCTTTTGGCGGTTGTTCGATAAATACTTCTTCTCGAAAACATTCATTTTTCTCAAGAGAAATTTCTTCGATCGGCTGTTTATCTTTACAATCTATGAAAGTACTTTCATCTTCGTGAAGAGTAACATCGTCATTTCCCTTTTTCGATCGATCATCATCATCGAAATTTCTCGAGTCGTTTTCTTCGATCGACGATGTCGATGTTTCAATATCACGCGAATTCGAACTGAATTCGGGTAATTTTAGTCCAGTTTGTTCGAGCGACGGAGAAAATTCATCCCAACGATCGGATCTCCATGTTTCTCTTTCCTCTTTCTTTCCTCTTTCCCTTAGACTCGCATCACTCGTAAAAACGTGGAACGTATCGTTCGTCGTATCAACTTTATACTCTTCCTCGTCGTTGCAACTTGACGGCTTTGTTTGCGACGAATCACTCGCATAATCGACGCTACGCTCCGTAACGTTGCAAAATTTCTCTCTTTCATTTTCTTCTTCCTCTTTGATATTTCCAAGAAGATCCTCTTGATAAAGAGACGATGTTCGATAAATCGTGTTCTTTATATCCTGCAAAAAATGAGCATGAACGCTGGACGAATGATCGTCGTCCATCGTCTCCGAACGTTCCACATATTCTCCAAACGGATCCGCACGATCATCCCGATATTCTTTCTCGCGCTTGTTCGAACATGGAACGTCATTACCGACGACATCGTTCGTAATATTTTCGTCGTTCGTTTCGTCCATCTCAAATTCAATTTTATCCGGTATAATAACGGTGGTTACAATTTCTGGTATTTCACAAGGGGATCCTTCGGTAAGGACATAGCAAGAAAGATCAATTTCTCTTTTCGAGGAATAATCACACGTTCCTCGAACGTTCGAAACGATCTCGTTATTATTATCACCTTTGAAAATTTCGGAACAATTTTTTTCAGATTTTTCCATCGATTCGATTTCGATATTATATTCTTCGCTTTCTTCGCCCACTCTCTCGCTTTTATCCAAATTTTTCCTTGTCCATTCATCCCCTTCGCATACCGCTTGTCTTCTCGTTTCATTCTCGATAATTATCGTATCGTTTTCATTATCGTTTTCGGTATCGGTTTTGCACACGCTTTCCAATACTTGCGATGCCAAATTTCTCTCGATATTACATTTAATTAAACGCGATTCTTCCAATTCCTTATTAAAAGTTGAAATCGTTCGAGACGAGGCTAGCGTATTTTCGATACTTTTCTCCACCGTTTCTATTTCCATTAATTTCCTTTCGAGTTCATTCGATCGATATTCTTCTTTCTCTTCCTCCTCCTCCTCTTTCATCTCCTTCTCCTCTTTCTTCGAATATTCCAACGAATCTGGTGTAACGTTCAAACTATCTTTAAAAGTTTCCTCGATCTCCATTTGTTCCAAATTTGAACTTTCCAGAATTTCTAATTCTTCCAGGACATGTATTTCATCGGTATTTTGCTCCATCTTTTCCCGCGTAACAACTCCATTCTCTTCACACTTGTGCCAATGATATTTCCACGAGTCGTTATCGTCATCGCTCTTCGAATTCTCGCTTTCGTGTTCTTTCTCAATCGCTTTCGAATCGTAATCGGTATTTGCAATAATTTCGATATCTTTGCGATTTCGATTCGAATTTGACTCTTCGCGTCCACGACATCGCATCGTTTCTTCGTTCAATCGGATATCAGTTTCGTTCGATAAAAATGGTAACGTTAAATCGTTCTCTTTCTTCATCGGCTTCGATCCATCGCTCGAAATCGGTGGTAAAGTGAAATTGTTCGTGTTATTCCGTTCGTGATTCGCGATATTCCTTCCCGTAGAAGATTTCCCAGAAGATGGTGGTCGCGTAATTACAGACGGAAGCGTCACTGAAATGTCAATTCGATCGATACTCGTCATCATTTTATTCGTCACATCGTTAGAAATTTCATTATTCCGTGACTTATCGTTAAACGTACCCTCTTCCATTTCGTTATTTTTCAATTCTTCTTTCTCATACTTTTTTCCTAATCGCAAACTCAATTTCGCGACACCTTCTTTTTCAGTATCGCTCAATTTTTCTTCCAATTTACGCATCTCCGTCTCCTCATCTTCGATCATTATCCTCCTCCATTGTTCTTTCAAATTTCGAAACATTCCACCCTCTATCCCATATTGCCATCGCTGCGCTCTTCGATACTCCTCCAAGTTCCCGTTCGATTCTTTCCCATCTTCGTTGTTTACGAGTGATCGACTTCTTCTTCGACCAACGATATTTCCATCTCCATTCCCACATTTAAAATGTATACACGTTCTTTCGATCTGGTCGGCACTTTTTTGCCGTATCAAATTGCACGCGTTTCTTTCGCATTTTTCACATTTCTCTTCTATCTTACTTATTCCATACTTATCCAAAGCAAGGTTACGCAATTTTTTCCGTTTTTCTTTCACTTCCTCATCTTTGATATTTCTCCTTAATGATATATTATCAGCTGACACAGATCGAAAACATTGCCCGCAAATAATTTTCCTCGAAAATTGGTGCGAACCATGATCAATGTGATCGGGATTTATTTTCTCGATCTCTCTTCTCTTTGATCGTACATCGCACAAATTTTCACTTTCTTCAATATGACACGTCGCATATTCGTGCTTTTTCAATACTTTGACAGTTTGATTTATGGACCAACCGATTCCAGTTCCCATTTCTCTTTTTTTTTTCTTCGGTATCACATTCGTTTCTCTCCTCTCTTTTATCGTAGATGTCGTTTCTTTTTCCATCCAGTTGTCGTATTTACAAACAAAAAAAAGATCGTTCCAATTTTTAACGTCACCGGTATCGTTATTACCATCTACTACGTTCTTATTAAATCCAGCCCAATCGAGAATATTATCGTATTCACGATTCACCGATTTGCAATCCAAAATCTTCGAAACGATTTCATCGGTACGACAATGTTCTTTATCTCTCAATTCGACCAATTTTGCAAAATGTTGAGCCGCAAATGCGTAAATATTTCGAGGTTTTTGTCGTAAAATTTCTCTTGAAAGTCCTTCAACCGCGTGAGCCAAGCCTCGAGGTACTCGAGGTGCGATTATACAATCCATCCTTGACATTGTAGCATGTGATTTCTTCGCGTTTTTTTTATTTATAAAATTTACATATAAAATTGAACGGAAACAAATTCAATTTTTCATTCGCATTTTCCTCTTTTCTATTTTTCTTCCTTCTTTAGAATTATAGCGATGTAATGATAACGCGCTAGTGATTACGATAC